GGAGGGGGGGGGGGGGGGGGGACACATTCTGAACTTACAGGAAATGTAAGTCAGATGATTGGTTTTGCCTATCCATCCACAAGGGCAAATCAAGGAAGACTTCTCTGGTCGGTTTCCTATCCGTCCTCGGGTTGAGAAACCGCAGAATTACCGTTGTTCATCCGGGCACGAGCTTCTGCAAACATACGCTGTTGTGCTGCCGCCGCTTCTTCCTCTGTCATTTCAGCCCCGCTACTATTCCACTTCCCGCTTCTTTGCGTGTCCTGCTGCAATGTCCGTCCATAGGGTTTAGTTCAAGTTTCAGTAATAAATGTTCAGGAGAGATGATTCTGTTGATGATGAATACCATAGTTTCAAACTTATGTTGCTCGTATGCTGCATAAACTTCTGCAATGTACTCCCCGAACCCAAGATCCTGTTCAGTCAAAGTCATGAGTATCAGTCCGGTACTTTTGGCCCGGTTCGAAACTATTTTTTTTGGGTACAACATAGTCAAGTGTTTTGATAGGTTAAGGGCGAGAGCAGCATTCGATGAAGCTCGCAGAATACAAAAAATCTTTAATGAAAAACGAACCTGTAACGCCCTGAAGACATGCTCGGGTGCAATTGTCCGTTTGTCCTCTCTGTTACAAACTTCATTAGACTCTGAGGAAACTAGATTTATAAACTCTGCAACAGTGTTGGGCAAAAAAATCCCAGAATTAGAATGAAGCACGAGGATATAAATAATTTGTATGCCAGCAGAAGCGAAAACAGGGTGAAATCAGCTAAACAAAGAAAGAATTTAACAGCCACAGAAATATCATGTATAGAGTATATGCAAACCCATAAATGAAGTTGGGAAATCTGAAGGATGAGCTCTTTACCTACGCAACATTCTATCAGAAGATCTTGAGCATCTCTAGCAACACGGACATCCGGAGGTAGCATCTCCTTTATAATTTTTGTCATGGTAGCTGAAAAACAGAACAACAAATTGATAAGTGTCCCACATTGGACAAAGAGAGGGATTTGGGGCCAATATATAAGGATGGTCAAACCACTCTTACCGGCCTAAACCTTATTAATTGGTATCAGAGTGGATGTTTGACCCTTCCTTATATATTGACCCCAAATCACTCTCTTTTTCCGATGTGGGACACTTATCACAAATCTTGCACATTGAGAATAAAACAAGACATGACAAGATTCCATCTAAAACCCGACAATGGGAAACCATGTCTTAACACAAAAGGGGAATGATCACATATCTCTCTGTTCACTTAACATCACACTATACTACTAACCAAAATCGGGCGAAGAAAATACTGGATTCAGAAGCAGGGAGACCAGGCATAACATCATGTTCATGAAAAAGTTGTTCAACTCGTCGATAGTTGAGGCCGAAACTAGAAAAAAAACATCCTTACAAATTTCAGAATGAATGTCGCGCCAAGAAGTTTCTGATGGTTTCTTTCTCATCGTTGCATAAAAAAAACCCACCTACGGATCGAGTTAGGTTATAAAACCTATTCGATAACCTTCAAGGAGCTTAATATGCCTAGCAAGATACTAGCAAGACTCGAAAAAAAAAATGAAGAACAAGGCTAGCAGGGCCAATCGATCGACGAGCAAATGCCTATCAATTCATGAAATGGTGGATTGAAGCAAAGGGAAAAGAGGCCAAACCTTTTGGAAGCGAAGCATCTTCCTTGGACTTCCCAACTATATCCATAGGGTCCATCGTTGAAATCTTCACAGTTTAACCAAGAATCAGATTGACGCAAACGTAATGGCAGGCGGCAAAGATATACGAATCATATAAGTACATGACGATCAGCATATGCGCAACCACGTATTGCATAAGACGAGGAAGACGAAGGAGAAGAACCAGAGACGGGGAATCGGATACCGACTCACCGAGTCGAATCAGGATACAATATATCAACGGGAAACCTACGAGTCAACCGAGTCAAGACTGAGCCACGGCAGTCCAGCAGTCGGTCGGATTATATGGAATCTTACCGGAGGATTTTTTTCTCCGCTCGCTCCCACCGCGATTAGGGCAAAACCGAAAAAGCAACAGCGCGTGAACATCACCTTCTTTGCACTTCTAGAGAGCGGCGCGTGAAAATAGTTTTTAGGTCCTTAAGAAGTGGGCTATTAATTAAGACCAAGTTACGACTTTACGAGAAGGGCCGAACCCGACCCATATAGGATCTGGGCACGGCCTTGACCCCATTTGGATCCGCTTCTCCTTTTCCACTCTTCTTGATTCTCTCTCACCAGCGACAGCGAGCGCTTGTTCGTCTCTGAGCCCCGAATACTCGAAAAGGTGGAGAATCGAGTTCGAGTTCGAGTTCAAAACCCTAGCTGTTCCGTAATTTGCAACCTTAAGATTTCTGGTTTCTATTGGTGGGGAAGATGGGATCGGATGAGGAAGATTTTGTCTTCTTGGGTACGCCGATAGAGCGCGAGGAAGAAATCGCGACGCGGAAGAAAAAAGCGATCGCTGAGGCTTCGGGGAGCATGAGAGCTCTACCTGCGTGGAAGCAAGAGGTCAGTCTCGATACTCTTTTTTTTTCCTGTTCGGTTGCGGATGAACTGGGAAAGCAAGCGTTGTGAGGGTGATGGCTGAGGCGTGGCTGTACTTCAGTGTTTTGACTCTTCACTTCTGAATTGCTTTGTGGTGAATTGACTCGCCAGAGAGTTCAAACATTAGTGCGAAACAATCGAGTTTCGGACATGACGTTGGTTCTTTATTTGACTATGCATGAGTCGTTTCTGGACTGAAACCTTTGAGAGCTAGACGAAATGAGATTTATACTGGGATTGAGCTAAGCAAAGAAATCAAAAGGGACATACTTTTTCTGAATCTGGCTTGAGTTCTGTAGAAACTGAAGGGGAAGATAGATGGAAATGGAACTAAGTACCACTAATCACGATTTTGGGTGAGGGAGGAATATGTAAGAACGATTTGGTGGTCCTATGATTTGCTTTATCGTTGTATTTGAGGACATTTCTTGAGGCAAAAGAGATCTGTAGTTGTTTTGGAAAATTTTGCATTTGGTTATCCTTGTAAATAATGCCTTGTAGGGATTGTGAACAGGCTATCATACAGTCATACTAATGTTTGGAGCTAGTCGATAGTAATATTTGTTCATATCTTCAGTTAGTTCTGGAATGCAAGTATGTCAAATCAGTTTGTGTGGTTAGTTTAAACTTTTGGAGGATGCATCATATTGCATTAGAAATCTTCTTTCTAAGTTCTAGTATCAGCGGTTTTCATTGTGAGCTGGTTTTCCCTTGTTTTTACTGGAAGGAGTGTTGATGTGTTGGATTTAGTATGGATAGGTGTTTATATTTTGCATTTTATGTCCACAGGTTAGAGATGAAGACGGCCTGAGAAGATTTCATGGGGCATTTACTGGAGGATTTTCTGCTGGGTATTACAATACAGTTGGATCAAAAGAGGGTAAAATTATGCTCACCAGTTTGTCCACAGATTTTTCTATGCTTTGTAGTTAAATTCTGAAAGAAAAATGCAGGGTGGACTCCGCAATCATTTACATCGTCAAGGAAGAACAGGGCTGGAGTGAGAAACCAGAGTATTTCTGACTTTCTTGACGAAGATGAAAGAGCTGTATGTTTCATCTTTTTCTTGCTACTGTGGTTTTTTAATTTCACGTAAAGACATGAATGCATAAGCTGAGGTAGAGATGAAAAGTTCTTTTAGCATTACACAATCATTTAACAATTTCACCAATTGTAAACTGATTGGCAATTTTTGGGAATTTTAATTTTCTCAACAAGTAAGTGCAATAATGGAAATTTGGTTTTAGCCACCTTAGTTGCATTTGCATTACAGGATTTGGAGGGTCAATCATTGTCAACAAGCTCTCAATTTGATACGTTCGGATTCACAGCTGCTGAATATTCTCGCAAGCAAGCTGAGAAAGAACAACATCAGAGGTGCTCTTTACTTTATTTGCATATTCCTTGCTGCTTCTCATGAGTAGTTGTTAAGATTGTCAGAATTCAAGTGTAGATATTTGCCTATTGGATCCATTGTAGTTCTCTACGTTAATGCTTATCTACTAGAACATGCTACTATTTGACCATGACTTGGTCATGTTAGATGGGTTTTTTGTATTGCTCCATTTTTTTTTGTTAAGCTTGAGTATGATTTCAGAAGTTGTGTTACAGTTTGTTTCCTGAAAGAAGTTCGATATCTTAGGCCTCCTACCACACTTTCTCTCGTTAAGTTGGCTGTAAAAGTTTCTATCTACATTACAGGCCATCAATCATTCCTGGCCCTGTACCTGATGAACTCGTTATTCCAGTCTCTGAGTCAATTGGTTAGTTCCAACTTCCAACTTCCAAAAAGTTCTTAAGTATTTTGCAAAAAAACAATAGTATATTTTCCTCACATCTTGTTAGAGCGTAATGTATCCTGACTTCATAGAGTTGCTTTCGTCCAGGTGTCAATCTATTGCTAAAGATGGGATGGCGACGCGGTCATTCGATAAAGAATTTGCGTGCTAGTTCAGGTTTATACCATTTATGCACTAATGAATACTGGTTTGGTGCCTTTTCTACATGTGATTGAAGCTACTTGAATTGTGTTGTGCCCATAAAGTTTGACATTGACTCTCTGGATTTTACTTCTAAGTCCTGTTTTCTTTTATTCTATGTTTATAACATGTGAATTCTTAGTTTATCATAGTCTTTTCTATGCAGATGCTCGTAGAGAAGCTAGGAAAGCTTTCTTAGCCTTCTCTACCAACGAAAAAAGTGAGACTACTGGCTCACAGTTCTCCGAGTCTGAAGTGGCAACTTCTCTTGAACCAAATGATGATATCCGATTTTCTGAAAGCACTCCTGTGAGTTTAACTTTCTTCTGTACACCAACTCCATCATATTGATTGTATTAATGTGTGCTGTCATTTCATCTACTTTTATGTTCTTTTAATCTTTTAAAAACTTTATTGTCCATCTGAATAAAACAAAGTACTTCATTGCTGGTTGTATCTGCTGAAAATTTACCACATTGCAGTTATTGAAACATCATCTCCATATTTGCTCATCCACCTAGATCCTGATTGTATCCTATGTTCACTATGTTTCACAGGTATATTTGCTCAATCCAAAGCAGGACTTGTATGGTTTAGGTTACGATCCTTTTAAGCATGCTCCCGAATTTAGAGGTATCTAGTTTTGAAATTGGCCGACCCCAAATAAGCTTGGGATTAAGGCGCTGTTGTTGTTGTTACTAGTTTTGAAATTGTACTATGTTTTAACTCATTGATTATTCTTGGCCATTGAATTGCTATTTGTTTCCTGATACTCAGAAAAGAAAAGATCTCGTATGTCTGCTAGTAAGGAGCTTGGCCACAGAAAACCTTTGTCAATGAAGGAAAGCCTTTTTGGATCCAAATGTAAGAACTTTTCCCTGATTATTCTCCTTTTTCAAACCCCTTCCTCGTTCTAAAAAAAGTTTACTTACTTTTTTTTTTGTCCCTGCCTATCTTGTTTTGCCTGGCATTGGATGTTGTGCGAGTATTCAGCTTAGGCGTCTTTGCTAATTTGAGTTGAATAATCAGCAGG